GCTTATACACAGTAGAAATTTATTTCTCACAGTTTCATAGGCTGCAAGTTTGAGATGAGGTTGCCAGTATGGCCAGAAGGAGGAGCCACTTTCCGGTTACAGACTCGTAATTATATCCTCACATGGTAGAAGGGGAAAGAATCTCCCTGAGTCTCTTTTATAAAAGCACTAATCTTATTAATGAGGATGCCACTTCCATGATCTGATCACCTTCCAAAGGCCCTACCTCCCAATACCATCATATTGGACATTAGGACTTAACATGAATTTTGGGGACATACACACACATCCAGACCAGAGCACCACTGCTGCTGGGCATGTCAACAGATGATGGCACTTAGCTGAACCCCACTCACCAACCTCCAACCCAGCCATTGCCCTTTGCTGAGTGATCACACACCTTTCCTGTTTGCAGCCTGCATCAGACGTTCCATGTGAGGGAATAAGCCTTAGCCACCATTCTCCAATTTGGGACAACTCTGCAAGGACATTTCAGCACCAAATATCCTCATGGGATAATCTGAGCCTTTGTTGTGACTACATCAGAGCCAAACTTTTCCTTCAGCTTTATCCTACTTTCTTCATTTCCCCACAGGCCCCAAGAATACCCCCCATTAAACTACCTGCAAGGAAATTTAGTCTCAGAGTTTTCTGGAGAAGCATAACCTCTCACATAACATGTTTGTTAATTTTAAAACTCTTAGTTCACCAGAGCTAGATGTCAAATCTCATCTATTTTTTCTTCCTTAAGCCTAAACCAATACCACATTACCATATTTAGACCAGAGGACTTAATGTAGAAATTGAATCCTGCTATTAAGACTTAGGTGAACCTTTTTTTTTTTTTTTTTTTTTTTTGACAATAGAACATTAAAGTCTGGATTCCACACAACTTTTCTTAACCTATACAAGTAGCTTAATCTCTTAACACTTCATTCTCCATTACTTCCTCTCCTAGTGTGACTCGGATATTTCATTGTTAAACCCACAGAAATAATGACCTCTGCTTGCAGAATGAAAAGAAAAGAATAATATACTGGTTTCCCATAGAAATGGTTTGAATGAGGGTGAACCTTCATGATTTTTAAAATTCATTTGTTTCTTTGATTTCTAGAGTACATTTTCTTCAAAGGTTTGAAACTCCAAAGGAGTTTTTAACTTTCTCCTTTTCCAATTCTCTAGGTTTCTCCATGCAAAGGTACTGTAATTAGGAGGATAGGCCAGATATAGTACACCCTACTTCCTGTTTTATTTTTCTTCGTTGAGAAAACTACATACAGTAGTTTCACTTTCAGAAAGGTGAAATAAATAGGGCTGGTTCCAAACTCAATTGTGAAATAAAGTTTGCTCATGATGAACCTCTAGCCTTTCGTGGTAGACTCTTTCCCTTTGTGGTTTCTCTTCCCCAACTCTGGGGCCTCCTCAGCCCACTGCCAGCTTCCTGCCCACCCCTCCTCTCAGCACCCTTCTCCTTCATTCAGCTTTCCCTGTTCTGCTGTTCTCCATTCATGACCCAGAACCAGTTTGATGGCTCCCATGTTGCCTATTGTCACTACAAGAGAAATGTCCCTGGTCTATAATATAATGTCCCTGCTCATCACCCAAGGCCCGCTTTGCTCTCTTAGGAGACAATTTTGCCTGGCACTCTTGTAGTTGATTAGTAAGTACTTAAGTGGATGAGTGTATGAATAAATAAACTGCTCTCTCAATACACCAGTTAGCATCCCTCTTACCTCCACCACCATATATATATATATATATATATATATATATATATATATATATATATATATATATACTAATAGGGGCCTGATAAAAACAGCATACCTTCCTTTACAGCATGACCAAACTAGGTGAGTTGGGGGAGGAGTCCCATGACAGGTAGTTGCTAGAGTATTCTATTAACTATGCACCTCTGATGCTTCACATCTGGGGCCTTGCTGATGCTAGAGAGATTGTTCTTCCCAGAACTAGCCAATTCCTAGAGAGAGTAAACAATTCACCTGTTAGAGCAAGCATGTCAAACTTGCAGCTGGCAGGCATGTGGCCCGCCGGCCGTGAGTTTGACATGCTTGTGAGTGTCTTTCAAATGCAAACCAACCAATCCATAGCCCATATGCCACCCACCTCCTTTACTGAGCTCTCACAGGGCTCGCACACTGGTTCATCATCCACCTGCCCTAATCACCAGGCCCAGATTCCAGACAGCTCAGGACAGCTCTCAGGACTCAGAGCCTGACGAAAGGATTCAAACCAGCCAATCTTGCTTATCCCGGCCTCCTGTTTCCTTCTGCAGAAACCACGGTAAAGGCCCATATTTTCTCTCTGCTCCTTCTGCCTCCTGACCAACCACACTGCCCTGGGAACATCACGTTCTCTCCTCTTGGGAACTGTAACAAACTGTCTTTTCAATGGCATTTTCCTCCTGACCTGTTAATAATAATAAAACCTACATTTTTAAAAATTACCTCAACTACTTCACTAATCTCAAGTGGGATTCTTTTTTTTTAAAAAAAATATATATTTTTATTGACTTTTTACAGAGAGGAAGGGAGAGCGATAGAGAGTTAGAAACATCGATGAGAGAGAAACATCGATCAGCTGCCTCCTGCACACTCCCTACTGGGGATGTGCCCACAACCCAAGGTACATGCCCTTGACCGGAATCGAACCTGGGTCCCTTGAGTCCCCAGGCTGATCCTCTATCCACTGAGCCAAACCAGTTAGGGCTCAAGTGGGATTCTTTTAAGAGCCTGAAGAAAGCATCTCCTTTCCATAAATTCTGAAATTAGAGAAATGACTTTTACTCGGAGAAGGCACTGTAGTATTAAATAAAACATAAAAATAATGACAGACTTTATTTAATATACATTATCACCCTGGGGTCTCAAAAAAGCCTATGAATTATTGTATTCTTCTCAATGACTGAAGTTCAAAGATACAAAGTGGTTTTCTCAAGGTCACAGAGCCACATACACAGTCGAAGTGAGACTAAAACACAAACTTTCCCAGCAGTCCTCTGACTCAGGCTCTGCTCCCACTCCTTCCTCTATCATAGTCTTCCAAAACTTCCAATATCTTTTACAAAGTTTTCTTGCATAACATCACTGTTTCCTTCAGACTTGAAAGAGAAAGTATGGAAGTCTTTCCAACTTGGGCCAATAAATGATTCCACAATAAAAAATATGGCTGAGCTATATCTAAATCTTTCAATAATAATCCAGTCTTGGGGAGATGAATGTAGAGTTTTAAGAGGATATTACCAAAAAACAGAGATGATCTATAAATTACAGGAGTTTATAATACTAAGTCTGACCTTTAGTGAATTAATTAGAACCCTCACAAATTTTCTTTCTGAAGAAGTTCCATTCTTTGGTCATGAGTCCCCAGAGCTACAAAGAACAGGATTGGCTGAGGAGAAGACAGGAAAAAACACCTTGCAGTTTTGGAAAGACATAAACTGAAAAGGAATACTGAAATTCACTACCATAAAGATGAAAATAAGCATACAAAAAATAACATAAAATTAAAGTGCTATTGAATGCCATCAAGCAGCAAAATGTACATAAAGATGTTAAAACTTGCCTGGCTGGCATGGCTCAGTGGTTGAGCATTGACCTATGAACCAGGAGGTCACGGTTCTATTCCCGGTCAGAGCACATGCCCGGGTTTGGGGCCCAATCTGGTCGGGACACATGCCTGGATTTGGAGTCCAATCCCCAGTGTGGAGCGTGCAGGAGGCAGTGTATCAATGATTGTCTCTCATCATTGATGTTTCTCTCTCTTTCTCCCTTCCCCTTCCTCTCTGAAATCAATAAAAATATATATATATTTTTAAAAAGATGTTAAAACCTATGCGGTCAGTGTTAACCAATTAATGGGAAGAAAACTTCAAGTATAATAATTGAAAAATTAATACAATATTGAACAAAATATAGTTGGTGAAAATTTATTTGTTAGCATTTACCAAATTACTATATAACAGTGTGGAATTTCACTGTTTTATACAAGAAAGAGGAAAGGAAGAGAGAGAAATAATCAAGTGAGTCAAATGATTTGGAACTTTAAAAAAATATTGCCGAAAGAGATGGATTATGAATGAGGAGAAAAGAGAACTGGATAAGGGGGCTGAAGAGCAACCAACAGGAGGTCGAAGTTGCTATTTGGAGATGGTGATTGGCAGCTGTTAAGAATTTCCACAGAGTGTGGCTAAGAAGAAACAAGCTTGTGTGCCGGGGGGACCTCAGCTGGATATCAGGAAGAATTGCTGACTGTAAATGTCAAGAGCTCTGGTTTTCAGGATCAAAGGGAGGCTTCTGGGATGTGCCTGTCCTTGGAGTATTTTTCAGCCTCAAGCAAGAGACTGTTTGGGTGGTTTTCTGCAGGCCTGTGGATAGACTGGATGGCCTGCTCAGACTCCGCAGGTCTCATGTTGCTGAGAGGTGTGTCAAACACAGCTGCCTTCACAGTGTCCTTGCCAGCTGCTGACTCCCAGCTCAGGGTCTGAAGGAACAACTAAGTCTTTCACTCTCTGTCCTCCCTTGGACCAGTCCTTAGGAGTATACTGTGGTTTTCAGCCCTTGAGCACTTAGGTGCTCTCCTTCTGAGCCAAGGGCCTCCGGGGAACAATGGAGCATCTGTGTGTTGACAGTAACAGCCTGTGAGCCAGAGACACTTGGCCAAGCTCTCCCTCCCACAAGGCTGGATTGCACACCTCACCTGCAATAATCCGTGCTTAGTCAGCACTAGCCTGCCCCAGGGCCAAGTGCCCCGCTCCTCCTACCCCTTCCCCAACCTGTTACCTGATTTGAGTCTGAGCAGTTTGGCCACATTTATACTAATCCTCACGCAGGATGGTCTCTACTTACCTCCTATCCCACCCACGGAGTGGCTCATAGCCTGACACCAAACAGTAGGCACCAAAGGGTGAGGCACCTACTGCTTAGCTGGGCAGCTGGGTATTTACAAAAGGTTTGCAAAGAGATGCCAGTCTTTTCCTATAACATCATTGCCTTTTATTTATTATGCAGTTGTTGATTTACATGGGGCGTTGGGAACACAAAACAAGCAAAGAGTTCTACATGGTCTGTTTCTGCTGAGTTCAGAACCTTGGGAACACCATTTGACTTCTGGCAAAAAGACAGTTCCACAAAGGTGTGTAAAACCCTTTTGTTCTTGGGCCCAGGAGCACAGGTGCTTATGAGGAAAGTAGAGTTTCAACCCTTATAGAGAAGAAACTATGTTGTGTGTAGGTCATGTGCAGTGTCCAAGTTCAATATTAAATGACAAATCAGGGCAATTTCCTTTGAGCCATGTCTCTTCATGCTAGTGTCACAGTATGTATTCCTCTTAAAGCCTCCACCCAGTGGTATCATAGTGGTACTACAGCGTTTGGGTCTACATGGTATGAATGCATAAGAGAAAATTGCATGGGTAGTGAGAGAATATAGGCAAATTAAAAGAAAGGACAAGGAGAATAAATGAGATTTTAGGGAAAAAAATAGAGGTGTGTGTGTGTGTGTGTGTGTGTGTGTGTGTGTGTGTGTGTGTATAGGGCCTGGTGATTTTGTTGTTTAGTGTCCCTGAGGTTTGAGTTGCCCCTCTTCATTCAGCATGAAGTAGATGCTTGTTGGTATGCGGAAGTATTGGGGAAAAATTAGAGTTCCACCTTTTGAGTCTTTTCTTCTGAGTCATGATTTTCACTCTGAAAAATGCCAAGACATGATATTTAGATTTGGAGTCCACCCCTGGAAGTCCTAAATCTACCTGCAGTTTTTGTCTTATGAACTCTTTCTATGGAATTTGTTTCCTATTGATATTTTACACAGAATGGTGAAACACAGAATTCAGCTCTTTTGAATAGGCAAGACCTTTCCCAAAACGCTTTTGCAGTTCTATCTCCACGACTCTCTCCTAAAAAGCATCCAAACTCTGTCTACTGTGTCCTCATATGCCTTTGCTCTTAATCAAATCCAGTGGAGCCCCAAGAGTTTTTATTCAATAGGAATAATAGAGACATAGAAAGGAAGAACATTCAACTTGCCTTCCCTGTAGCCTCACACTTACCAGCCTTTTCCCTTTTAGGAATCCATCACAAAAGTTTTGCACGCGCTCTATTGAAACTTCTGTCACGTGAAGTGTATCCCACTCCTCATCTAGAGTCCGGTAAATTGCCAAAGCGGGCAGTTCAGATTTCTTTAGTTTGAAAAATGATATCACCTTCCCATTTTCTTTCACACCACTGTCCACCAGAATAAAAAGTATCTGCAGTTGGAGAAGTTTGAAAGAGAAAGATTTATCTGAGGCCCTGAGGAGAAAGAGGTACCTTGTAATGGTAGCAGTTTATTCTGATTGAATTTATGGTTTGTGCCACACAATTTAAATCTCAATGGACTCAGAATGGCTTTGTTCTTGCTTTGAATTGCTTACGTATTTTACCCCTTTTGACCATATTGATTCAATTTTAAGAACACAGACTTGGAAGATACTTCAGTGATTAACTTTAGTGATTAACTAAGTAGAGCCTAATGGTTAAAAATGGAGAATAAATTTTAAATTTTGCTCCTGGTACTTTTTAGCTGTGTGACTCAGAGCACATTACTCGGCCTCTCTGAGACTCAGTGCTCTCATGGGCAAAGTGGGCTTTTGTTGGGGGAGACTAAATGAGAGGATGCATTTAGTATTTCCAGTACAGTTTTTGGCATACAGCAAGTGCTTGACAAATGTTAACTATTTTTTTTATGATAAAAATCAAACCCTCTACCAAAAGTAGAAGTCTTCTTTATAATATTTTGGTTAGAGGATTATCTGTATTCAATAACACTGAAAACTTACAGTGTTATAGAAACAACCACCAGAAGTCAGCTTTAATCATCAGACAGTTCTTACCATTGAACAGGTCATGTAGTTCAATATAGTAACCTTGAAGGTGTTGAAGTTTTCCTTTTAAGTGATATTAAATAGAATCGCACAGAGTAGGGAAGAGAAATAAATAAATATTTATTATCCATTAGGCACCAGGTACTGGACATTCATTAAGCACCAAGTACATGAAAGGTGTTCGATATGAGAAATAAGTCCCGAGGTCTAAAAATGTAAGGGATCATGGCAAGGAGAAAAATATTGTAATACATAGGTGATTTTTATTTTCACTTCTCAATGTAGAAAAAAAAAAAACAATAGACTTTACCACTAATGGAAGATATAATTATACAGGTCTTAAATAGTACAAAATATAACATCTTTAATTTTAAATCAGAGTAATGTGATTTTTTATGTCCCAGTTAATATTTTATCTCTTAACCATACTAGTTTTCCTTATTTATCTCTTTTCCCTAACCCTGTCTTCCCTTTTCTACTGGCCTGGTGCTGAGTTTTCAAAAGGATGTCTCCCAAAGCAGACTTACCTTCCCCTGGAAGAGCTTAGCTGCCTTGTGGTATCTGTGCAAGCTTTCTTCATACTCTGGGGAGGCCTTGTCCATCATCAGGAGAAGATGAATCTGAACCATGCTATTAAATAGGCCAATCACAGTCTGGCAAATTGAAATGCATTATAGTAGAATGAAAGAGAGAGGGAGAAAGCAAAAACCATTAGTGGCCACTCAGGGACTAGGCGAACTACAACATAAATGAGAGCTGTTCATCCATAACACAAATGGTAACTAGTCTCTAAGATGGCTGTCAGTGAGGTTCACCCTCTGGTTCTCATGCAACTGTGCTGATCCCTTTCCCCTACACTGAGTAAGGCTGAGTGGAGTAACCAAGGGCATATTGCAGAAATGATGGAGTGTGACTTCCAATGTTGTCATAAAAGACATCATGGTTTCTGCCTTGCTCTCGCTTATATTACTCACTCTGGGGAAAACCAGCCCCAATGTTGGAGAGATCCACAGGGCAAGGGACTAAGGCCTCCTATTAACAGCCAGCACTGATTTGCCAGTCTTGTGATCGAACCATCTTGGAAGCAGACCCTCCAGCCCCAGTCACACCTTCAGATGACATTGCCTCCCTGATCAATGATTGTAACTGCGTAAGACACCCAGATCAAAAGCAGAACGATCCTACCTAGTTGCTCCCTCTCAGTCTAGCCACTCCCAGACTGATCCACAGAAACTGTGTGTAATAAATTTTTACTGGTTTAAGCTGCCAAGTTTTGGGATAATCTATTATGTATCAATAGACAGCAGATATACCATGTACTATACTAGTCACTTTGACTACATATTAGTAGTGCATTCTTTGAGTGCCTATTATTTGCTGTGCACTGTTTTCAGGTTTCTACATAACAACTTATTTAATACTCTAAGTCCCAGTTTCATAAATGAGAAAATTGAAGCAAAAACTCAACCAAAGTCACATAAATGGTGGACTTGGATTAATGCCAAGCCGTCTGACTCCAGGGTCTGTGCTCTTAACCATCAGGATGTACTGCCTTATACAAAGTTGATTACAAAGCCCCAATCTGACAGTTCAACCCTCAGTGTGATTGAATCAGTCTACTTTGGGTCAGCAATACAATGAGCTTTTCAGGAGATCAGAGGTGTTGGCCCCTTTTTGCTGACTCACCGGGAAGCTGTCAGTGATGAAGGGGTGGGATAGCCCTGAGCCAGAGTGAGGAAAGGAGGGGGTGAAACCAGGGCACTGCTTCCCTTCATTTCACTTTCCTGAAATAGTGCTACAGGTGTCTTTATTTTAAATGAATCCCATTCCTTTCCACCTCTTCCTTTAAAATACAGAAAACATTGCTGTAAAACCAGCACGTACACAGGAAGAGAGAGTATGGGGGTTAATGAACCATTGGGCAGAGTCCCAGGACAGTGGGACGGGGAGCAACTAGGTAGGATTTTTCTGGAAGCTGTACATTGCTCCATATTCTCTAGCTCTCTTGGCCAACATGTTGACAAAGGAGGCCCAATGAGTTCTTTTCCCCAAATTTCTTCCTATAGTTTAAAACCAGTTCTTAGATTTTAAATTGGAGAGACTTGGTGTTAAAGAATTGTCTTTCATTTGATTAGATTCTGCTACTTAAATTTAGAGCATGCATCTATCCTCCTAGAGCATACATAGAGGATGATTCTTGGGAAGAGTCAAGAAATCAAAACTAAGGAGTTAAAAGGTACCGTTGTCTTAGCAGAAAGGATTGGACATATCAGAAGTGATTAGTTTAATTCTAATAGACACAGCCTGGTTTTTCGCCTTGAAGCCAAGGATTGCGTATGTGCATTAAAAGTGCATGGCAGGCCAGACACGTGGCTGTGAGTTTCTGTCCAGTTGCTACTGATGCAAACCTTTCACTGGAAACAACTAAGAAATAGCTATGTAGTGTGGGCAAGTCTCTAAGTGAGCAAAGTACTGCTTTTGAGAAATGAAGACGTTACAATAAAAGTTAAACTTGCTTCTCTAAAGAAATTCTTATTTAATTTCTTCTTGATGTGGATTGCCTTCACTACTAATGTGAAACTTAAAAAAAAGGGTATTATTCTCTACGATAAGAGATGGACTGGGCATAAAAACTCAGGAAGGCTATCTTTGCCCCTGCCTTAGTTAGCCTGCAGAACTCCAAGACCCTGAGCCCATAAACTCAGAGACCATAAAATCAAATTTTCTGGTTCCACATGCCCTCTTGGAATCTCTGTAGACACAATGGTGAGAACGACGATGGTCGAGAAAAACGCCCTTTTAATTATTGCTGCCAACACACCCTGGGTGCACGTGTTTGAAATCTTAGCAAACGTGGAAATGGAGTCACCACTCCATGGAGACAAACATGGTGTGAGAGGCGGGCAGGAATTTAGTCAACAGGAAAAGGGGTGTTTTCCACTGAAGGCTGTGTGGGGCAATGGAAAAAACACAGGAATCAGTCAGACACAGACAGACCAGTCAAGAGAAAAGCAGGGGCAAGTGCAGAGGGCTGTCTCTGAAGCTCAAATTGCTAGGCATATGGCTTTGAGGAAATTACTTCACTTTTCTGAACTCCCATTTCCTGCCCTGTAAAATGGAAATAGACAATGTGAACAAATGCATCATGAATTAAAGTTTCTGCCTTTAACTATGCCTTTTCTACTTACTATGTGATCTTGAATAAGTCAGTTGGATCTTGAATGTTCTGCTCTATAAAATGGGCATAATAATTCCCTCTCTTCTACCTCAAAAAATCAATGTAAGGATCAAATGAGAATATGGTGGGAAAGGGCATTGTAAATTCTAAAAATCATGACATGCACATATAATACTGTGATTAGAGAATGCACAGCAATTCTAAGCTGATGCAGATCACTAGAAATTAATACTCCATCACTCCATGATCTCTGTAGGGGAAAATAAAAGTCAGGTCATATAAAGTAATTCTATAAGCTGTAGAGTGTTAGAAGGCCAGAAGATTATCAGGACAGGTTGACCAACACCTCTACCCAGGCTACATACAGCATGCAACACTATGAGAAAACAAACCTAGAAAGAAAGCTGAGCCATCATGAGGATCTAGGTACCCTCAAACCCATGAGCTTCTGGGTTGATGCAGGTGGTGCCAGAACTGGAACTGTTAATTACTGGCCCACCAGGAGATAGGCACAAAAAAAGGGAAGAAATGCATAAAAACGTTTATAGAAATTTTATATAACTGTGGCACCCAAATATGTGACCAATAGGCTTTATTTTAAAAGTGTTTTGCTGCCCTGACCAGTTTGGCTCAGTAGATAGAGAATCAGCCTCCGGACTCAAGGGTCCCAGGCTCGATTCCGGTCAAGGGCATGTACTTTGGTTGCGGGCACATACCCAGTGGGGAGTGTGCAGGAGGCAACTGATCGATGTTTCTCTCTCATCGATGTTTCCAACTCTCTATCCCTCTCCCTTCCTCTCTGTAAAAAATCAATAAAATATATTTTTTTATAAAAGGTTTTTGCCTATTAATTTATTTTATTACATTTTATGAAAGTATTGGCTCCTGATGCAGTAGGGGGAAAAATAGACCTTCAACACAGATTGCAATCTTGTTTAGGGAGTGTAGTCTAGATAGAGTGTTGCTGGGATCAGAGTTGCCTTCGTGGAACATTCTCAGGCAGCAAAACTCAGAGGTTTTTGAATCAGTCACCTTAACTTTGCACTGTGGCTTTCTTCCTTCTTAATCATGTGATAGGGCATTTAACTTTTCTGCTTCTTTCTTTCTTGAAAAGGGTCAAGTCTCTCAACCTGAAAGGTGTAGTAAGGATGACAACATAAACAACTAGGTGTTCAATTGATTGCAGCTATTATTGGTCAAAGGATCAGAAACCTGAAAGAAAAGATCTCTGCTATGAAGACAAGTCCACCCCCCTCTCTACCTCCCCCCCCCCCCCCACACACACACAGGGACCTTAGGACTATTGTTTACCGCAGGATTGTACTCTGTCACAAAGTGGAGACTGTTGATCTCAATAAAACGGCTTAATCTGGTGTCATCAATGTTTTCAATGTCTTCACTCTCTAAATTCAGTTGTTCATTATCCACCTGCATAACACAGAAATAATAATTGTCACTGTTCTCTTTATTTGTTCATTGACAAATGTTTCTGGAATATCTACCACGTGACAGGGACTGACTACAGCTCCAAAACCAGAAAGGTAAATAGGAGATGTTCCCTGCCCTGAAGAACACCCTGTCCTGTGGGATACAAAGTGAACAGACATGTCCCACAGGAGGTAGCAAGTGTCATCACAGGGGAATCACAGGCCCATGTGTCATCTGAGGAAGAGCAGAAATGCTTTCAGGAAGAAATAGCTCCATTGGAAGGCATCCATAAATGTGACATATAGAATATCTTATCATTCAGTTCAAAATGTTAACATTTCTGTTCTTATTTCTTCTCTAAACTTCTGTTTATTTAGAAGTGTATTTTATAATTTGAAAGTAAGATTTTCTGGTTATTTACTTGTTATTAATTTCCAGCTTAATTTTTACATTTTATATCTTTTGTCAACTTCTCTATATATTATATATGTGTTTAAAATTGTGTATATTCTACAGTTTTGGGGTGTACTATTCTGTATATGCACCTGTGGTCACATGGTTAATTGTATAGTTCAAGTTATCTCTATTCTTATTGATTTTTTAAAACCAGTTTATTCTATTAGAGAGAAATGTTAAAATCTTCCACTATGATTATAGATTTAACCATTTTTCTTACAATTCTGCCAGTTATTCTGTCTGTATATTCTCAGGTGATGCATTAGATTAATGCAAATTTAGAATTCTTAAAATTTCTGGGTAAGTTGAAACTTTATCATTATGAAGGTCATTCTTTATCTCTAAGGATGCTTGTCTCAATGGCTACTTTGTCTAATATTAATATACTTATTCCAGCTTTCTTTTGGAAATGTTTGCATGGTATATTTCTATCCTCTTTATATTTTACTTATATTACTGTGTCATTATGTTAAAAATAATGTATCCCTTATAAAAAGCACAGTTATATTTTAAAATACAGTCTATATTTAATTGGATTCTTTTTGTAATGTAATTGCTATATTTAATTAAATATTCATTTCCCATTGGCTCTCCCAGTTCCAAATTCATTTGATTTATTTCTTGCCTATTTTGAACTGGTTGAGTGCTTTGTATTATTCCTTCTTTCCCTTTATGGGTTTGGAAATTGCACAGGCTTTAATTATTCTTTTAGGGATTACCAGCTTGCATTCTACAATATGCTTTCTTTACTTACCTGAACCTAATATTAATTAGAAATTTTACCCTCTTCTTGGGCAATGTACAGTAGAACATTTTAGCACAGTTTGTCTCTTTCCAACTCCACTCCAGTTGTGTTTTAATTCTAAATCTCACAAGACATTATCATTATCCTATATAATAAAAGGGTAATATGCAAATCAACTGGTCACTATGACATGCAGTGACCACAAGGGGGCAGACGCTCAATGCAGGACCACAAGCTGGGCTGATGGCTGGTGAGCGCAGCAGCATCCACAGCAGCACTAAGGAAGTCTGACTGCAGCTTAGGCCCACTCCCGGGGGGCGGGCCTAAGCCACAGTCAAATATCCCCCAAGGGCTTCCAGGCTGCTAAAGGGCACAGGCTGGGCTGAGGGGGCCGCCCCTCCCCCTCCCCCAGTGCATGAATATTGTGCACCAGGCCTGTAGTTGTTATATAGTCAACATACATTTACATTCATGCATATATTTACATAATGTTTCTTTTCATTTCTTCCTGCACTTTTGAGCTTTGCTTCTATTTGGAATTTTTTCTCTTAACCTAGAACACATTTTGATATTTCCTTTAGCATGAAACAGTTCTGTTGGTTGACATAGTCTCTCAGTTTTGGTTGTTTCAAATATCTTTAATTAACCTTTGTTTTTGAAGGCTATTTTAGCTGGGTGTAGAATTCTAAGTTGACAATTTTCCTTCAGTTTTTTGCAAGATATAGTTCTTTATATTCTGCATCCCACTCTTTCTTTTGAGAAGTCATCTGTGAACCTTAATATTACTTCTTTGAGATTACTTTGAGGTTAATTTCTTTTCTCTGATTTAAGATCTTTCTTTTTTTCTTTGAGAATCAGCCATTTTATGATATGGCTAAGAGAAGATTAGCCATACCATATATAATATATGTATGTCTGCAAGTGTATGTATATTTTTATATTTATATTTGATAATCTTAATCTAATTTCAGGAATTGAGGTAACTTGAATCTGTGCTGCACCCCTTGGTTCATTGTTATCTTTAGGGTATTGTTCTTTAGCATCTAAGTGGAGCAAAGGGTATTTTACTAGATCTACCTCCTACTTCTTCTTCTGAGCTCTGGACTTCAGCATTTACTTTTAGGGCTCTTTGAGGGTCTCAAAAATCCTAATAAAGCTCTAAGTCTCTCGGCTGCTTCCTCTAGAACTTGCAAAAGCCTCCCAGATGAAAAGCACCCCAAATACATGATTTACCTCTTGAGTTTCCAGCAGTTCTCAACCTGTGGGTCGCGAACAATGAAAATACATCCTGCATATCAGATATTTACATTACAATTCATAACAGTAGCAAAATTACAGTTATGAAGTAGCAACGAAAATAATTTTATGGTTGGGGGTCACCACAACATGAGGAACTGTATTAAAGGGTTGCGGCATTAGGAAGGTTGAGAACCACTGCTTCTTGATAATTCTTTAAAGCCCTTATTTTCTGGCCCAGCTTTTTAAAAAATTGCCTTTGGTGGAAGAGATTGTCTAGTTACTGGATCTATTATCCCAGATTTGGTGGAGGGATTGTCTTGTTACCTGATCTAGTATCCCAGATTTACATGTTTGAACTGCCTTTCCACCATACTCAGATATATTAAAAGATGGAGCTTTCTATGGCCAATCATTGTTCCCAGATTTTCTCATTCATCTCCCCCAGTCTATTCATGCACATAAAAACACAAGGTAATGTTTCCATCACCCATAGCAACTATGTCTACAAATAAAAATAATCAGGGCTAGGTCCTGAACAATTCTGTTTCCTAAAACAATTTGGGCCACTTTTGAGATCTTTGGGCTATCAACCCTTGGAATCTCTTTTATCTCTTTCCCTTACATCTATTATCTTATGTAGGTTCTACCCAATCAGATCTTGCCAAGGATCAGAATCATTCTTTACCTCAAATTATGTTCTCCCAATCTATCCAGCAAAGCCAAAGGTAAGTATTATTTTAGTTTATAAATGAGGGAATTCAAGCAAAGGTAAATTAAAGTCACTGAGCAGTAGAGTCCAAGTTTGTTCTTTATTGTCATCCCTATGATGACTCTATTGTTTGTTTTTTAACTTCTTTTGTTCAAGCTGGCTTCCCATTGAGTTAGTTAAAAGCAATATGGACCTCCAAAAAGCTCAATGCACTCTTTATGATCAATTTTATGAATTCTTGGAATATCTGGTCATTCTTTTATAATCTATTTGTTTGCAAATTATTTGTTGAACGTCTTGTATATGTTAGGCACTGAGGCACAGACATGCTGACATTCACTCAAATAGCAATTTAATCACTTAATTCATGAAGGGTGTAAGAGATCTTTCCTTCCTATCTTTGCAACGTTTTTTTTTTTTTTTCCAGTTTCTTCGTATTTTATTTACTTTTTATTCTATTTATTTAGACTAAAAAGGTCCAAAACCAGTTTAAACACTGTTTTTTAATCACTTTAATTTACTGATTTTGGGCGGGGACTGTTTTCACAACTTCAGTTTATCAACTGAATGCTGAGGTGCAGAAAAAAAAATCATCAAAACCACAGGATATTTTAATTGCTTTAAAATCCATAAAGTTCCGAGTAGAAAGCTCGGGGCAGAAATATACAAGCAAGAGAAAAAGTCTTCTTAGGTGGAGTCCTTGCCCACCCTACTACCATTCCCATCCCCAAGTCAGTAAGAGTGAGGAGAGAAATAAAATGAGCTCATTGATCTTTGCTGCTTAAGGCTGGGTTTGCCAGCTGGCATGTCTTTCCTACTTACGTGTTTGCTAATTACAAACATCAAAATCATCATCATTATTATAATCAGGGCCTTTTTAATACTTAATATGTTTAAATACTTCCTTATTATTTTTCTAGGAACTTGGAGATCTGGTGCCTGCACTTCAGCTGACACGGCTGTGCTCTGGGCCAGGAGCCCCTCCCTCCAGCACTCTCTTCCAGGCAGTCCCTCGCATTTCCCAGAACAGGGAAAACAGGAAGCGTCACTTACATTAGGCATTTCTGGACTTCAGGAGCGCAGTATATTGGAGGTAGAAGATATTAAATGATAACATTCTCTAAGAAGCCCAGAGCTTTACTAAAAACCACCCTCCTGAAGTCTATCCAGTTTGTAGCACTCCTTTTACGGAAACATGCCTGATTATTTCATTATTTCTTAAACTAATAAACTCTGGAGCATTCATGTGTAGGGGTCTTGGAAAGAACATTTGAACAGGAAATCTCCCTTCTGTAAAGGAAATTATTTGCATAATGTTCTGGAAAGAAAAATCTGACCCTGGAACTAAGAGTTGAGAAAAAAAACAAAAACCCTTTTATGTATTTTTCCAGTTTTTGGAAAGAATTTTACTGGAGATATCATATTATTTTTTTCTCTCCAAGTAAAGAGACACCAGAAGAAAAATAGAAACAGTAAACCAGAAGGATTACCACCTTAAAATATAATATTGAGTTTTCCCTAAGAGTATTTGAAATGAATTATTTTATGTTTTAGATACTGCTTATACTAGTATCATACCAATAGATTTAATCATTCCTTTTCTGTTGATTAGTATTTCAGCAATATTCCCTTCAATTGTCATGCATTTCTCTAGTTAACAACCCAGTTTTTCATAAAATGTATTAAAGTCATCTTAGTTTTTACACCACAATTATAATATTAAATATCTTGCATCGCACTGAGAAGTCACTTGTTAAACAAATGCCCTCATGTCTTGGTTTCTTTTTATAAGCTGCTTAGCTTACATTATGTTGAATACATATATTCTTTGGAAAAACATTTAATCATTTG